TTCCTGTTACTATAAGCCAAATCACATAGGAGTTGATAGAAAAAAACAGAAGATACAGTACTGGGATCACACTAAAATTATTTTCCACCTCAATGTGTCACACCCCTGGACTGTGTGTGTGTGTGTTTTGCTCCCCATGTGCTCTCCATGACCCAGTTTCTGTCTCCCATGCGTGATTGCATGATTTGGTTCAGGTGTGTCTCTTCTATTACCCCTCGTTATGCCCTGTATTTATAGTGTCCTCTGTCCCGTGTTCCCTGTCCGGTATTGTAACGTCATTCCTATGTGTCACGTGTGTGTTCCTGCCTGCCCTGTGTTACTCCTGATTTTGGATTAATAAAGACTGTTATTCGTGAACTCTCTGACGTCTCCGCGCTCCTTCGCTCCTACACAGTAATGCCGAGTTCACACTGCACGATTTTCACTCGCCGACAGGTTTTGCGAAATCGCCGACAAATGCCCGAAATCGGAGACAAATCGGTGCTCGTTCACGCGAGTGACAATCACGCAGTGTGAATTATCAAAGACGCGATCTGAGGGAATCGCCGACGTGTCGCTGACGCCCGTGAAATATGCGATTCACAATCACGCTGTGTGAAATGAGTTCTGACTGAAAAACACATCGGCGATGACCTACAGCCAATGAGAGACCAAGATACAGGGCAGCGGGAAGTTCGGGGAGGAGTTATATGAAACGTAGTTTGTGGACCAGTGTTGCCAAATCCGCGATTGCCGCCGACCCCAATAACGTGATATTTAGGCCCTGGAATGTGAATTGTACCAGGAGAACCCCGCCAAAAAAATGTATTTTACCCCCCGAACTGACGAATTTTACTGGGGGACCCCCTCAAAAGCAATTGGGCTATTTTCAGGCTAGTTTTGAGTAGTAATTGGGCGGGTTTTGTAGCGAAAACCTGGCAACCCTGCACCAGACAGAGCTGTCCGTGATTCTTCCTATTGTGAAGTCATGCAATGTGAAACCCCCCGTCGCCGATCCATCGTGCAGTGTGAACACAGCAACAACTGAATGCTACCCCAGATAGTCACGCAGTGTGAAAACAACGGCGATCCGACGAGTTTGAAAATCGTGCAGTGTGAACTCGGCATAATGCTACATACAAGAGAGAAATTCAAATCTTGCTAGTTTGAAAAGCTAAACTACTTTCACATTACTCAAAAATGTAGTTACAGTAAATTAGTAGTGTCTACTTACTTTTTGTGGTAAAAGCTACTAGCTGCTGTTACTTAGTTCACAACACAGGTTACGACAAAATGAAACGACACGATAAACTATTTCACATAACAGTTCTTTAATACAACTTTTCAAAAGTATTTTTGATATGAATATAAATGTAAAAATATAAATAACTACTATTTACATCACATAGTTTGACACAGAATACAGATTTTGGCATTTGTTGCTTCCAGCTTCGAGAGAAAAAAGCATTCTGGAGAATGTAAGAACGGCGAAAACACGCTCTCAGAACTAGAGAGGTAGAACAGTGATTCATTCAGGACACCTTTGCCAGGTCTGACATTAAACAAGCAAGTTTAAAGAAGAAACCCACATGGACAGTTCAGTACGCCGTGGGTTCAGATGTGGATTTATGTACAGCAGGACACTGCAAGGTGATAAATGAAGCCAAGCACGTATATGGATCCACTTAAAGATCAACTTAAAGAGTTGTTTGTGCAGCCGTGACATTCCACTCACGTCTTTTCAATGAAATTGCACAACTCTTTAAATGTGTTCACCCTCTATAAATCTCCCTCCTTCCAGCTAGCTCTCGTAAAAAGGGCTGAAGAAAATCTGAAATCTGGAGGAAATCATGCGAGCAACTACTTCCAGATATGCATGAAAACAATAACACAGGAAGGCCAACAAAACTGGATTATAAAATAAAAGAAACATTACATGTTTAAGTGTTTACTTACACCCTTGACTATCTTTTCGAAAATCAAAACAAACTGCACTGCACTTGTTTAAGTAGTTTTTGCCAAAATGTTTAAACTTTTAAGGATAAAGATATATATGAAAGATTTAAAGACCTCTTTTCAAAGAATAAATACGTTTATTTTTATAGATAGATAGATGTTTAAAGAAAATACATACATATATATTTAACACCTTTATGCTTAAAACAAGATATATATGTAATAAATATTGATTATATAGGCTATTTAATAAACTTATTTCAAGATATATTTTTTAAAAAGGCGTCTTTAAATCTCACACAATTGTACTCAAATAAATGAAAGCACGGTTTAAGGATGATAAAGTATAAGGTATTTTTAATAAAACAAGGCAAAAAAACATTGCATTTCTTAGTTTTGGGGGGAGGAGCAGCACTATATTTTCCTGATGACTCCGATCTGAACGTCTGATCTTGATTTGCTTATGTAAACAGCTATCTTGGATTACTGGCTTTCCATGATATAATCAGACGCTCCATTAGAGTCGGTCACTGATATCCCAACCGAACTCATCTGGTCCCTTTTCCCACTCAGACATCAGCTTCATCCCTGATTTAATGGTAGCCTGATTCTAGTCTGCGTTGTTTGTGAAGAGCATTGTGAACAGTGTTTAAAATGCAGTCTAAAACTCTAGATGCCCTCCCTTCGCTGCTTTTCATAGCACACTGTGGAAAAACCCAAGGCAGTCTGTTTCTGTAAAGGGACAAATACCACATTCTGGCGTGAAGCAATTAAAAATGCTTAAGTAGGCACAGGCAGCTTTACAGCACGTACATCAGTTGACAAAAAGGCACTATGTTTATCCATAGCCATGTGGTCAGATGTCACTGTTAGAAATCAATTCCACCTGGACGTGCCCCAAGCGCAGGACCGCCGTGTTGCATGCCATGCACCCTCATTCACTCCAAAAACCATAATCTCAAACTTACATCTGTTTAATCACAAACAAGATCTCGTTAATGTCTCAAAATGTTTCTCCCAGACAGCAATGAGATTAAATGAAGGTCAAATGAAGAAAAAGAATATGCTCAGATCAAAAGTCAGAGATTGCAATTTGAACACAATCTTTTTCTTCCAAGAGCAAATGACTTCAGATATCCAGTATGATAACAGTTGTCTGCATTTGTGTCCATTTGTATTTCCCTAAAGAGGAAACATCTGAAACATAACTGAGAAATTCATTAAATCTCCTGAGCTATATGAAAGAGCAATAAAATCTTCCTCAGGGCTCAAACAAGTCCAGTAAGGCGAGCTTAGCACATATGCTAACAGCTAAATGCTTCAAAAACAGCCTTTTTGAAGTACTCAAGGTTGTTAATGCTGTCTCTTCTTGCTTTCTCTCATGCACAAGGATTCTCAAATCCACTCCTCAACACGGTCGAAACATCTCGATCGATAAGCTTTCTGTGAAAGGAAAAGGGTATTAACCTCTGAATTGGTATGGATTTTTGTCTGTCTCCGAATTTTTGTCTTCACACAGAGTTTTCTGAGTGTTAACAGGATTTATGAGACATCTGAAGGCTAAACCTTCCCAAAAAGGAAAATTCTGTCATCATTTCCTCACCCTCAGATTGGTACGACTTCCTTTCTTCTGTGGAACATAAAAGAAGATATTTTCATACACAGAACATCAAAAGTGTTGTTTTGGACCCCACTGAGTTTCAAAATACATTATTTTGTCTTACCCAGAATAAAGTAAGTTTTTCAGATTTGGAACAACACCAGGATGACAGAGTTTTCATTTTTAGGTGAACTGTCCCTTTAATTCATTATCCGTTACCCACCCACTGTATCCATAACAAAACGTGCCAAATGCTTCCCAGATCAAGGTAGTGTAAATAAGCAGTATTCCCATTGTGAAAACGGATGTAAGCTCTAGCCTTTGTGGGCTCTGACCAGGTCAAAGTGACGACGTATTCATGTGTGTTGTTTTTGGGGGTGAGGAGACCGTGCTAAAATAGCTGAGTTTGAGTTTTAAAGCTGGCACTGGAAGAGGAAAAGAGAGACGGAGGGGTAAAACAGAGCTACTGTACCATGCTAAGTCCTATCTCTTGCTCAAGGCACTGGAACAAGAACAAAACTCTACTGACACTTTTGACTCAAGTGTCACCACCCCATACCCCCCCAGGAAATGAATTTTATTTTCAGGCTGTCTCAGAACAAAAGACCCTTCGGTTTGCTGCCTTTCTCTGAACCGTGTCCGTTATAAAATTCCTCTGCGGTTGTTTTTCCGAATACCATCTATATGAGGTCCTTGAAGAGTCAGGGATGGGATGGATTTGCCAGATAGAATCACACACACACAATCCAATGCAAAACTCCTTCAACACACTGTACACTGTGTAAAATTCCCAAGAAATCGAGCTCGGGTCTTTGCGTCCTTCATATCAGGCGCTGCACCCCTATTCTAAATCATTAGCGGCTACAATTGACGGAGGGCTGACAGCGAAAGAGGCCGAGCAGGTGTCTTGTCTCTCTAGTCCATCCAGCACACATATTACGCACACACACACACATGCAGACGGACACATTCTCGACCTCTCCTGTCCGTGCTTTCTTCCTATCCTGATTCGCAGCTGCCGGTTCTAGATAGCAGACGCAGGTTCAAGTTCCACTCCGTAAAAAAGCTCGCGCATTGCTACGGGCGAATGACGTGCGACAGTGACGGAGGTGAACTCCTCTTTCATCGCGGTGTCCGGTTGCCGCCGCTGGCCCACTTCTTCGGCGTCACAGGAATGCAGGAGACTGACATTGATGGCAGCAGAGGCTCTGCGAGAGGCTCGCAGCTAGTGTTAAGTGTCTTGTGTGTGTGTGTGTGCAGGAGTGTGTGTCCCTCTCCAGGCTTGTTTTGATACCAGACACCTGCTGAGCAACGGTAAACTGCATGCGTGACTCTGGTGAACCCTCATGCCAGCCTTGCGCCGTATTTTCCACGGGATTCTCAGAGAGGACCTGTCCTTCGCGACTTGTCCACCACGGATACCTGAGCGGACGGAGATCTCTGTTTTTTTGGAGGGGGTGTTCTCTCACAAGGGACACTGATCGGAGCTGAAGGAACCTCCTTCATTCTTTTTCCTGCGCTTCTTCTTGTGGACCGTCCAGCAAGTGGTCGCCATCAGTACCAGGACCAGCCCCACGATCAACAGGATCACAGAAACCACCTTGGTCTGCGGGAGATCGTTGTACGTGTACGTCACTCCAGTTCCAGCCACTCCGATCACCAGCGAGATTATCCCAAATGGAAAGATGCAGCGGTACCAAGACTTCTCCATCCCTCCCGTGGCTTGCGAGAGCCGCTCTAGGGACGACAGCACCTCTGGGACTTTGGGTGCTCCTTCTTGCGACTGGCCTTCCAGGGTTGGGGCCGCCGTCGTCTGCGGTTGACAAGTGAAGTGCCCCGTGGTGCATCCCATCTTGCGACTGGATGCTAGGAACACAACAATAAAGATGTGCTCAGTATGAGCAAGACGCTCTGGGAGGAAAGGCAATTTAGGGAAGGAAACGTGGAGATCCACTCACAATGTCTGTGGGTTTGTCAGTGCCACGGCTCTCTGTCTCTCGAGCTCACAGCAGCACGTTGAACACTCGAGCAGACAGAATGAACGCTGCTATATATGTGGCCAGAAGGAGGGGTGGAGTTGAGCTGCAGAGGGGGCAGCCCGGAGCTCCTGATTGGCTGCAGCTGCACTCTGACGTAAAATGCCATAGTATGAGACTGGGCAGCGGAGCGCAAACAGGAAGGAGGTGGGGGAGGAGGGGTGGAGTTAACCATTCAAGCACCGTTCACTAAAATCCACCCACTCCTTCTCCGTTCTCCTGCTTGTAAGAGAATGAGTGCATGCATCCTATAGAGGGGATGCCGGGATGGGAAAGCGACTATTTTACTGCTCATTAAATAAGGAGACTGCCAGATTGTTTTATTCAGTAACGCAGCCACGGGAGCATGTGGTGCAGCATTTATTCATTCAACCCGACAGCATGACAAAACGCATGCCGGCAGATAACTGAT